TTAATATTTTAAATTTATTCAAAAATCACTCTGTTGACTATGGAAAATTGTGCAGAATAGACTATTATATGAAATTTAGTGATTGCATTTGAATTACAGAGGCTTTGTACTTATAAAATATTGTACAAATTGTTGACTTTATAACCATTTCTATATACAATATGAACATTCTTTAATCAATTTTTCATTTTCTCTTTATGTTTCCATTTCTCTCTACAGTAAGAAGCAGTTTTCTAAGAAATCTCTTAAAAGCTCTCTCCTCAGTGTGGACAGTGTATTCCTTTTACATAAATTTTACATGAATAAAATGGGGATAAAAGAAAATGTTATAAAAATAACCTGTTATAATAATTCTCCAATGATTGTGAATTGTCTAAAAGAAATGAATATTATAGGAAATATTTAAAAGGATTCTGTTATTCTCCTTTCTCTTGTGCAAGCACTTACACAGTTCATAATATTCTGTATTTAAAGACCCCCCCCAATCCATCCATATGCTGTGCTATTGAATATTGGGTCTTTTGTACTTATGGCACTGGCATTAGTGAACAGCTTTTGGGGAAAGTGTCAGGCCCAACCACAGCTCATACCGCATCAGAATCTATGTTTTAATGAGATCTGCAGTTCATGGTAGGTAACGTTCAAAGTCATGAAGCATACATTAACATAATGAGACCTTACAACTGATAAATCCGTGATTTCGAATGGTGTACATGGAGGATGGAAAAAGATATTCCTATGTTGAACGTTTAGTTTTAGGTGATACACTTCTTTAATTCATGGTCTGTACATTTTGAGGATATGATGATGTTCTTTTTTTTTTTTAATATTTTATTGTTTTTATTTTGTGTGTATGTGTGTATTGCCTGCATGTAGGTAACTGCACCCATGTCATGCAGTGCCTGCAGAGGACAGAAGAGGCCTTCAGATCCCCTGGAAATGGTGTTATAGACAGTTGTTAACTGCCATGTGGGTGCTGGGATTCAAACCCGGGTCTTTTGCAAGAACACCCAGTGTTCCTAACCACTGACACATCTCTCCAGCCCGATGGTGTTCTTTTGCACAGAATTAGGAAGTATATTATGGAATTGCTACATTAATAAAAAATGCCTTTGAGTAGTTCAGGTTCCTCATCTCCTTTGAACTTCTTTACTAATTACCTCTTGCTTTCTTGGGTCAAGTACTCTGTTTAAGGATTCTTACTGAAGTGCTTATTTTATTTTAGGATGAATTGGCATTCAAAGATGTGGCCATAGAATTCTCTCAGGAGGAGTGGGAATGCCTAGACTCTCCTCAGAGGACTTTGTACAGTGAGGTGATGTTGGAGAACTACCACAATATGGTATCAGTTGGTGAGAAGATTTTTCTTGCAGATTTCTCTACTTACTCAGCACATTTTCATAGTCTACAGACTAGTTTGGAAGTCTGTTAGTTTTGTGAGAATAAATCTCAGATTTTTTAAAAAAAATAGTGTATATGAAGTATCTGGGCATCATGAAAAGCACATTTATATTTTATTATGTTTAGCATTTCCACTTGTTAATTGTATTATGAATATTCATTATTTAGTTGTTGATTTCAGTTACTCATTAGTACATAATACAAGCCTCTTAAAATTCCACTTCCATAGCTTTATTTAGAATCAGTGGTAGAATTCAGAACATGAAAACGGAAAAATCTCCAACATACTGTAAAGAGACTGTCAGGGATTGAGTATTGGGGCATTATTTTTTGAGTCATATAATTTTGTCTAAATTGTCTACTGAGTAAAATAGCATCTTGCAGATCTCAGTATTTTCTAAAGAATTCATTGAACGTAATGGATTTTCTTTCTCATACACAGGTATTGTTTTGTATAAGCCATACCTGGTCTTCTGCCTGGAGCAAAAGAAAGATCCCAGGAATGTGAAGAGAGGGGAGACTGTAGCCAAAGAACCAGGAACTTGGGAGTCAATGAAGGAAGGTGAGGGGCCAAAATAAAGGAATATAACGATATGAAAATGGCTGTGGCATGCTCTGTTTCACTGGATGCTGTTCTGTTTGGATAAATAGTGCACAGTAGTACCCTAAAAATGTGTCCTGTTGTAGATGTCAAATGACTTTGTGTCATGGATTTTTATTAGTTCATTATCTATTTTTATGTTTTAATTGAAATTTGTGATTTCCATCCAATACCATTTAATGGTGTTTAGATCCCCTCTACACTTCCCGACTTTGCCCTTTGCCCAATTTAATGTACTGTCATCCTCTATGTGTCTGTAGAGTGACTTGTGCCATCAAATATCCTTCAGAGTGAATCCACCCATTGGGCCCACAAAGAGGCCTTTGCCTGTACATGTTAGTGATTTTACTGTGATATTCTGTGGGGAGTCTCTGTTCTGGTCCTCTGTCATTGGATGTTCTGTGAGCTTCTTGTATGTGTTTTGGTATGCCTTTCCTTAATTTAGTGAAATTTTTTTCTTTAATCCTATTGAAATCTGGTCAATGCCAGTGAGCTGGAATTCCCATTCCTCTAATCCTGTGATGCACAAATCTGATCTTTTCATGGTGTCCTGTATTTCCTCCATGTTCCATTCCTGTATTTTAAGTTTTTTTTTGCGTTCTTGGCTTTAGTGGTCCAATTCTTCAACTTTATCGTCAGTCCTTATATTCTACTTTCCATTTCGTTCATTTGGTTGGTAAGAATTTCTCCTGTCTTTTCAGGTTGAATTATTGAGTTTTTCAGTTTCTTCTTCCTTTCGGTGTGAGCATTTTTCAATATTTCTTTCCTTTTCATGACCCAGTCTTCAAATCTTTGTCATTTAATTCATCCAAATATTTGTATTTTCTTGAGATTCAGTCAGACACTTATCCCTCTCCTCTTTGAGTTGTGTGTTCTTTTAGTGTGTTGAAATCTTTGATCATGTTTATGGTGGTTCTTTTAAATTCTGTGTCCCTCATTCCTCCAGATTGCTCTCATTGTACAACACTTCTGTAGTACTGGCAGTGTTTGATGGGGACATAGTGTTTTGATTTTTTATAGTATTTGCATTTTTTGGTTGTGATGTGGGCATGTGGCTTTCTTTTGTTGCTTGTGTTTCTGGTATTTAACTCTAGCTTGTGTTTGTTGAGTTGACATTTGATTCTGTTTATACTGTTTATGTAGCTTGGTTACTTTCTCATCTACTGTGAAAAGTTAGTTTTTCTGGGCTTCAGATTTTCTCTTTTGATTTTGTATTTGAGGAACTGGATGGATCCAGGCAGGTTAGTAGGAGGCAGGTTACTAAGAGGGCAAAGTAACCCCTGCTGGTCAGGCACTCTCAGACAGACTCAGTGGGATGAGGCTGAGGCCAAGGAGAGCTGATGGGAACAGAATGAGATGGTTCTTACTAGCTAGCGAGGAGACCTGTGCTCTGGAACAGCGAGACTGGAGATAGTCCCAGGGGGGGAATTGGCATAGCAGGATTTGGACAGCTCATCCTGATGAGTCAGGTGCTCTCTGGCAGCCTCAGCAGTATGGGGTCAGTTACTTTTTTTCCTTACTGCATATGTATTATGTGAAAATTAGCAGTAGTAGGTAAAATCTCTTATTTGATTACATATGAGAGAAAATCCCTCTTATTCTATTATGTATCTCCAGTATGTGTTTTCTAACCAATACTCTAGTTTTAATTACTGAATTGTTCTCATAA